CGCGGAGCTTTTTTTGTATTGTAGCACACCGAAAGATTCAACTGTCCTGTTCTGCAGCCGTTTTGCACTAGTTCTGAGATGGTTCTGAAATGCATGGGGCGTAATTAGCGCTTTGTCAGACTGCCTTTAAATTTTACTACAGGGAATGCACTAATCGAGTTCTGTGGTGTTTAGTTTGTTCCAGTAGTCTTCGGATAAAAACCTAAGGAACTTTCAAACAACAATTTCTCTCTCTCAAGTGAGAGTAAAAGGAGAGTAGATGCAATATAGTATATGGGAACACAAAAAGCACTTTTTCGTGCACAAACGTCAGCCGATTTTTTTACATGCCATTGGAGCTAATTCCACTAATTTTATACTAGGTGTATTCACGATTTGGTGCATACTGCCTAGCATGGTGCATAGATAGCACGATTGGCCAATTTTGTTGTTGTTTAACCACATGAAACAACAACAATCATGTTATTTATACTATCTATGCACCATGCTAGACCGTATGCACCGGATCGTGAATACCCCTACTATGTCTTACTATGTCTTGGAGTACTGGAACAAACTAGTTGATTGAAATTCAACATTTGAAAGCACATTGAAATATATGTCTGGCTGTAGCTGAGTGCGCAAATACGATTGTCTCAATTTGTTGATTTCCAGAAGATCCGGGTTTGAATTCCATTGCAGGCAATATGCAATTTTTTTTTAATCGTTATTTTTAACTTCACGGATGCTTTCTCAAAACGAACGCTTCATTTTAGTATGCACGTAGTTGAATTGAATATTTAGCACTATATAGTACTTTCGTTGACGTTTATAGTAAAATCAACTATCTTTCTATTTGATTTTACTATTTTTTCCTCAGTGTATGGACTGTAGCAATTGAGATTTTAAATAACGTTTGTGCTTTTGAAAAATTCACTGTTTCAAAGTGCATGTTATGATTATACAAACTAAACATATTGCGCTTTTTCGTGAGGTGTGACTCTTTCGGTCCGCTTTCCTCCGATATGATATACATATGTATATGTATATCTGATAAAAGGGTGTTATATCTTCTTTCATTTGGTTTATGAACTGTCTGCTTCAACTGACTCCTGTTTGATAAAATTACTATTTTCAGACGTCATCAAAGTCGAAAATTAACAAAAATTCGAAGTGTGGATGGACCGGAAGTCTATTTTTTTAATGGGACATACGTGCTTCGGATTCAGCGGACAAAAATAGTTAACTTTTCTCTGGACTGGACTTCTGGTTAAAATAATGGACTTCCGAACTGTTTAAGCCACTTCCGGTTGAAACCGGTATATGCGCGGTGGTTGTGGTTATGGGCTGGTTTCGCTGATTTTCAAACCAACGTCTTTAAAAGATTATCAGAAGCAAGTGTACAAGCTTTTAGCCCCTTATTTCAGCCAAAACGCAATGACCGGATCTAAGAAAAATTAGTATGGGAAATAAAATTATAGAAATCGGTTAACGGGGTTCAAAGTCAAAAAACTTCTGGGCATATTCGAGTTAAAAACTGCTAACTCCAATTGTTTTATTGTTATTTTATTGTGACACGAAATACAGGCTGCTGACTGCTTTTTGCGTTTATAACTTAAACCTTTAGCGAAAAAAA